TTTCCTTCTCCCACTTTTTTGACCACTTTGTCTATTCTTCTCCTTCCGCTCTTATCCTCTTGTTATTCCCAGAATCTGGCAGAATCCGCTGCAGTTCCTCCCTGGTGCTCGGCGAGACACTACACAGCTCTCTCTTCTAATGAACCCAGTGACCCACATCAGGATGCTTTTGCTCTCTTCTATACCTATTGCCTGCAGATGGATATACATTTGTTTACTAAACACCAGCAGACCCAATTTCATCACACCTAGATTACATCCTAACACTGTTTGATACATTACAATGCCAATTATCTCATAATGACTACAGCTGTCAAGAGCATATTCTGTATTATTTTACTAAACAGTCCCTCCAGGATTTTGCGATTCTGCAATTACAGAATTTAACGCAAAATCAAGCATCTTTTGTGCCAGCTCTTATTTTTGTCTTATTTCCACAACTTCCACAAAAAAAAAAAACTTAAACTGAGAGGGTGGAAAGCAATTTTAGCTAATAAAAAATCTATAGTTCAGAATCCAAAAAAAATGTATCAATATGTCTTCAACAATTTTGCTGCTGTATTGCAGTGAATACCATTGTAAAATGAGCAGTGATGGACCATACAGAGAACTAGGACATCTGGTTATATACAAGTGTTTAAAAAGGAAAGAAAATTTCCAATATGAAACCCATTTGAGCGACGGAAGGCCTGGAGAGGGTAATATTTAATATTTCCAAGTGATCTCTCCAAATCATTCATTCATGACCTTCACTTGTCTATTCTCTTTTCAACCTGTTCTCTTCCAAACCGGTGAAACACAGTACTACCACAATAGACAATATAATTGTTCAATTAACATTAAATAGTATTTTTAAATATTAAAAGTGTACAGTATATAATTTCACTGATTAGATACTGTACTGGTTCAGTGACAGTGTGCAAGCTATTGTGTCCTACACAATTCTGTATTTTCAACCAAGAAGAACTATGAGAACTTCTATGCTGGTGACACCATTGCCTGTTTAGTAATGTGCAAAAATATTTAGGTATGTATTCTTCCCATCTATATTCACCAGTTACATACATCATGATTATTGGTGAGTTTGCACAAATTTCGAGAAACCAAAATAAATTAATTTTTAGGCTGCAAAAAATAAACAAATAAAATCCTTGTCCATGCTTCAATTAAATTTAGGCAAAATGTTGACAATATATTGCAGTTATCAATAATTTTCCTAAAATGCTAAGAATGCTGAGGTTTAGCTAACAGCCACTACCTTGATTTTGAAGAATTTTAAAGAAACCATGAACCTCTTTGAGGTGGCACCTCACTGCACGGGTGTCACCTGGATGTGATTGACACTTCAAAGTCCTTCCAGACATGAGAGGAGGAGCAACAACAAACTCCAGACCTCACTGATTGACAGGAGTTACAGAGCCAGGTGTGTGTTAACAGCACTGCTCTATTATGGGTAGGTTTTTGTCGCTGGAGGCTAGCGGTTACATCATGCTGTGGTGGAGTCAGTATGTGCTCTTCACAAGGTTGATTATATACGCTCTAAGAAAAGACCATAAAATTCGACCAATGAACAATGTTAATATGAAGGAATTTTCCTTGTTGATGTTACACAGGTGTTTTACCTGTATTTCGAATTACGCATTGCATTGTGCTGTGTTTAAGGTTTGAAGGAAATGTCCGTAAAATTAACAGAAAGTGTACTGGTAATTTTCTGCCAGGACATTATCTGCTTTTCTATGGATTTTTTTTCCTTACAGTGTACAGTGCACATACAGTAAATGTATGTCTGCTGTAAGTTTAACTAGAAAAAATGAGACAAATCTGTGCTCACTGGGAAGAGGATAGTAAATGAAAGAGGAATTAAAATGTGTTAATTGTTTTGTTTGTCTTTGATTCACCATTTACTTCTCCGGCTTCATTTACCCCAGCATACTTGTACACACAAACCACCTGTACACAGCTATAGCCACAACATCAACTGGTACTAATTAGTGGGGCATTTCATTTACCTTGTTAATTGATTTTTTTTTTTTTAAATGCAAAAAAATCCATGATTGCATTAATATTTTTTATAATAAATTTTCTAAATTGAGTACTGAAATGCAATAAAAATGATTAATGAATTACTATTTTAAATAGAGTACAACATGGTGCTCGCTACTGCTTTTACATACAACATACTGTAAGCTATTTCATTCACTTTAACTTGCAATTATTTTCTACCAAAATCTGATTTTAATAAGATGTGAACAATACCCTAAGCCGGCCATGTCAGTTCAACTTATGGTTTTATATGAGTACTTAAAAGGACCAGTGACTCAGTCTTCAACTTACCTAAGGTCACCTAAACTGCCAACAAAGGATTCATGAGTTTACTTGAGATCTGGATAAGTCAACACAGAAAAATCCTCAGAGCACAACCACTACAAGGCTTAATCATAACCTCCAACATTAAACACCTCAAACCACTTTAGTCAAACAATAGGTTTAGAGTAAATACAGTGTGCCACACAGCTTGAGCACAATGCTCGGCATTGATCCAGGCTCGGAATATAAAGCGTCAACAGAAAACACTGGATAAAATCTCTCCTAAAGCGTCTCACTCCTTTCCAGCAGTGTTCCTGTGGATATATCAGGTTTTCTAGACCCAAATCTAAATCTAAAGGGGTTTTCACTATAATATTAATACAAGGCCTCTGCAAATTTAACTCTGTAACGTCTTGATTTTAAAGTAAATAAATAAATAAATTCAAAATTATTGTAGCAGAGACGGTATTTTTCAGTACAACTACTGCATACCTGTAAAATCATGAAACCAGCCTGAAAATGATTCTTTTTCTGAGTGTTAGAGTTCATTGAGACATCAAAAAGGTTTGTTACATGGCTCATACTTGATTCTAATTTGGTCAAATGCTTTTACATTTATTGTTCCTAGAAGTTTGTCCACAATTAGCCAAAACATTTAGGTTTCCCAAGTGTTTGAATAACCATTTAACTGACCTGTTCTTTACTTTACTTTTACTTTATAACACTTTATTGTCAGACGAGTCTGAAATTCTGAGGTGATGACACCCAACCACAGCTTCACTACACTAAACCCACACTGATGACTCACACCAACAAATCATTCAATCTGTGCCTCAATAAACCTTTCACTCGTGCAGTCGGTTTTGGAGGGAAATGTGGTTTTTGTGTGTAAAATTTATAAATACATAACTCACTGCTTCCATGTGTTACCCTGGCAACCCTGAAACTGTAAAAAGTGGTCTAAGAGAACAAGCATGACGACAGTAACTCACCAGTTTTCAAAACTGTGACAAGATGGAGTGGCAGGATCTTGGTACTTTAGTGCCAAGTCTAAATTTAAAAAAAATTATAATAATATTAAAATAAATCAAAGCACTTTCTGACTGACAGGTGACTGTTGGTTCTAGAATCCTTTGATACACATATGGGTGAAATCACTATAGAGGTACAGTACATGTGTGCTTTATTGTTACTGCGCATAGAGTCTGATTATCGACTGATGATTGATTATAGATGATTATTATGATTATAGACTGACTATCGGTTGCAATAAAGCCTTTGTGTACTTCTTGCCAAAACATTTGTCGTCCCAAGATATTAACACAAACAGAACATTTTATGTAAATTCTGATATCCTGACAGCCCTACCTCGAGTCTTGTCTTTTTGGCTTTTGTAACCCAAATATTATGCTAATAAAATAATTAAATATTGATATACTGATAACATTCAAAATTATCTAGATATAAAAAATGCAGGAAATTCCTCTCAAATGTTGAGCAAGTTTGTCTGCAGCTGAGATGAAGAGGAGTTCTGGAGAGAGGCCTACCTCCTCCGCACAAAATAAACCCTGTGGAAACACACAGAAGCTTTCGAGGACAGGTCTGGGAGCAATTACCAAGCAGAAACGTCCAAACTTTGACTGCAAATGCACATCAGTCCCAGCACATAAACTGCTTTCATTAATATTTTCAGTAGAATTCATCAATATCCTGCCCTGCCACAGTATTACAGTTTTTCCTGGAACCAACATGGGGTAATTCTGTGGCTTTCCCCGACATCTCAAGATTTTGACTCAGCATGTGCAGTCAGCCCGATTTGCTCTGATAGAAAGAAATAAAGAAAGCTTCACATCTAATATGATTGTGAGCTTTCCAGTCGTTTATAGTCGTGGCAGTCAAAACAACCCCGAGCCAAACCCCCTGAACTCCCTCAAAAAGCAGGTCACTAAAGAGTCTGCAGGGGTTTTAGTCAGTCACAGTAAAGGATTCTCATAAAAATTGTGTTTTGAGAGCAAACAAAAATTACAGCAAAAACTAGGCTGACATCAGGAGTTCAGGAGTCACAATTTGGTGAAAGCCCAAGTCTAAGTCATGTAAAAATATTTCATTGAGTAAGGCTTAAGAACAGTAGGTATTTCTGTAAAACAGACCCAGGCTGAGAGAGTAGTAGGGGGGGCATGAAATGGGCAGAGACCTGAAATGGGCAGACGTCTGATGTCTGGCATTAATATCAAGCTAAGCAGTTCATTCCAAAATAATAAAATTACAAGTTTGGTGAACTAAGTGCCCGAGGAATCTAAAAAGTCAATTTACACAATTACTCCAGGCCTTTGATTATATATCTAGATTATATATCTTTAAACAAGCAATCTGATTATCATTTTATTAGCATTCTTTACTGACATTCAAACTTTTCAGGTTATATAATTGGTTTTCAAATATCAGGTTTACTAATAAATGCTGCCATCTTGTAAGTCTTTAAAAAGAGCATCCAACAATGCCATTACACCACTGTTCTTTCAACAGGAAACATCTGAAAAGTAACTTAATAAGTGCATACATTATTTGATTATAAAACTGTGGTTGGAGACTTTTTGCGCATCGGTAAGAGACAAAGCCAAACAACCATTATGACTGAAAATTCACCCAAATCTTGAACCATGACACAGTATTATGACAGCCGTCATACTCACTGTTGTTGATAAGGAATGGGTCCGTTAGGTGACGGCTTCATGGACAGGGTCAGATGTCCCACTTTGGTGCCGGGCAACGGTAACGGCACTTGACCTTGGCCTTGCGGGAAGATCTGCTGAGGAATAGGACGCTGGGGAACTACATTATGACCATTGGGGTATCCATTCGTATGACCTCCGTTTGGAAGTCCACCATTGGTGTGTCCGTTTAATGGTCCAGTTGGATGTGAGGATGGGGGCAGAGTAGTCTGTTCACAGGACTTGCCTTTAGAGCCTGGCATACACACACAAATGTGGGGCCGCAAGCACATCCCTCCATTCTTGCATGGCGGTGTACAGTTAGCTGTAACAAAGAGAAGAAATGTTAAACAATTAAAAAAAAAAAGTCATATAATACAATTAATATAATATAACTTATAACAAAATGTCATATGATAAAGTTTAATTACTTATATAGTGCTGTTAGAATTTATAGAAGTTTATAGAAAAGAGTTTCCCAGGCTGGTCTGGTTATGTAAATACAAGTGGTTTAAATTAATATTCTGGGTTAATATACTTGGTTGGCATGGTGTTGAGTAAAACAAATAATTTTATGTATTTTTAAAAGCAAAGCAGAGCAAAGCAAAAATAAAACAAAAACAAAACAAAACCTAACAAAACAAAACAAAAAACAGGAAGGGTGGAATGGAAGGGTCTATGCCGGGATCCATAGACTTCCATTATGCTTTTCTGTGCACACTTCTATTTAATTATTTTAATTTTACATGAACTGATGTGGGAGTTGAAATGAAACATTTTTATTTTATACTTTAGGTTTTCATTTTGCTTACTGATAAATATGATTTTGTGGTAACAGCATGGAATATAACTTTTAAAAGTAAATTTCTACAATATTTTCAGCATAGTTAATACATTAGAAAGTGTGTAAGGTCATAGTTTTTGTACGCTTTTTATGTGGTGAGGAACAAAATATATAAAAATGAAGGTCAGAACTGATATCTGCACAGATCATGAGAAAAAGAGTGAAGAGAATGAAAGAGAAGCAGACTAACAGAGAGCGCAAGAGAGAAGGAAAATGAGTGGATAACTGGGTGTTGACTTGTGGTCTGTAATTACATCATTGAGGAGCAGGAAAAAAGCTGTCATTCAACTACAAAGAGCCTAGCGGCCTCTATGGCCAACCAACACAGACTTTGTCTCACACACACACACACACACACACACAATCAGGGCAGCTTGATGCTCATCAGCAAATGTATAGTTAGTCATATTAAGTGATTGAGTGCTGTGGATATTCCTAAATAGAAAATGGATCAGCACCCAGTTCTCAAGGTAGATGTTAGGAAGGATGATCTCATCAACAGTTTCTATGACATCACAGCAGCAGCTGCTCTACACAAACTGCTACAGACATGCAGTGGCCATCTGGAGTACCGGGAGTTTTCCCTGGTGGGCCGCTGTACAATGTGGGACGGCCCATTGGGTAAATATATATAAAGAATGAATTATAGTAAATGTATGTAGTCTATATCCCTCCACTGACCCAGACGAATGGACTGCGCAGCCCACCAAAAATTCAAATTCAGAGTCAAAAATTCTAATTAATTTAGCGGGCTCTGGCTCAGTGCAGTGGTTCAAAAGCTCTCGTCACTGTCAACATTTTTTGAAAGAGCCAATCAAATCGAAGGCAGTGGGATTTACTGTTCACAGAAGCTGAGCTGCATGGCACCTGACTGCAAGCTGAGGTAAGATAAGATGTAAGCAGCTAAACATTTCAGCAATATTTGCCAACTGTTTACAATAAAAAATATTTTAAATGGCAGACATTAATTTTCAGTGATGCAAACTAACGTTACTACTTTCCCAGATTTTTATGCCATTTACATTATTCGTCACAATGTACATAAACATTAATGTAGCAGTTTTGAGCAGACATAAGATAGGAGTAAATGTTTGTATATCTCTATCCAGGCTTTCTTCTGTAATTTCATGTGTTATGAAAATTAACATTTTCATAAAACTCTAAAATATCATTCTCAAACTTACTCTAGAACATTGTAAATCTGAAGAATTTTGCTTTCAAGTGCCGTGATTAGGAAAGTGATATATATTATAATAAAAACATAATTTGCTAATTAGTTCGCATGCATTATTTTATATGCACACTTGCGGTCAAAAGCTAGAAATAATTAAAACTTTTTATTTATTTATTTATAAAAGAAGGCGGAATTTATTTGATCAAAAATACAGTAAAAACACTAATATTATGAAATATTAAATTTAAAGTACATTCTAAATGATAGTTTTCTATTTAAGATATTTAAAAAATGTCATTTATTGCTGTGATCAAAGCTGAATTTTCAGCATCATTAATCCAGTCTTCAGAAATCATTCTAATATGCTGATTTGCTGCTTAATTATTATCAGTTATTATTTGTGCTCAATTATTAATAATGGTTCTTATCAATACTGAAATCTGTTTTTGCTTCTTAATATTTTTGTGGAAACTTTAACTTTTTCAAGTTAGGGTTAAAAAACAGCATTTATTTGAAATATAAATAATTAGTAATAAGTATAAATAAGTATACTCTGTGATTCTGTTTTTTTTTCTGACATGTTGGTGTTATATCTTTCTCTTGGATATTATAAGTTGCACTGAGTAAATACAGCTGGATAAAACAAAAACTGTGTCCGTCTTTATTTCAGGCTGCAAAGCAACTAAATGTGATTATTTAAAGGGAGGTGATTCTTTTCTATACCCACTGTAAATTTAAATCAATATTTATGTATTGATTATTATTATGGAGAAGAGATGGAGGCAACCCTCGAGAGCGAGATGCGCACTGTCACCTCACAAGTAACACAACCAGGAATCCAACGCAAGCATCCAGAAAGGCGCATCAAGATCAAGTGGCCAAAGGCGAATATGCAAGAGGACTGGTGCAGGCTCGACGAATACCTTAGTGGAGTGCTGCAGCATTCTTTGCGAGGAACAGTTGAGCGTAAGCTAAACTTGATGGGAAACATGATATATGAGGAGTGCAGAGAGAGGTTTGGAGAGTGTACGACCAAACAAACCATAGCCCCAAGACAAAAAGGACGGAGGGAGAGACACATCGAGTTGCTCATATCAGACAGGCGTCACCTGAGAAAGAGGTGGAGGAAAGCAGCCCCAGAGGAAAAAGAAGGCCTCAAGCTGTTATGGGATGACCTTAACCAGAGGCTGGCTAAGCTACGCCGGGCAGAGCGGATCAGGAGGCTGAGGAAATGGAAGGAGAAGGAAAGGAAAAACTTCTTCAAAGACCCTTTCAAGTACGCCCGTCAGCTGCTGGATGAGAAGCGGAGTGGCAAGCTGGCCATCACTAAAGAGGATCTGGAACTTTATATCAAGGGCCAGTATACGGATGCAGCCAAAGAGACACCACTTGGCTCACCAGGTTATGTGCCACGCCCAGATCCCCCAAGGACCCCTTTCGACACCTCCCCACCCAGGTTGGGTGAGATTAGAGAGGTCCTCAAAAAGGCCAGATCAGCCTCAGGACCAGGTCCAAACGGGCTCCCATACAAGGTGTACAAGAACTGGCCACAAGTGACGAAGATCTTGTGGAAGCTCATGCAGGTTGTGTGGAAGAACCAATCCATTCAAGCTGAGTGGCAAGAGGCAGTTGGAATCTTCATTCCTAAGGAGCGGTATTCCATGACCATTAATCAGTTCAGGAGCATTGCCTTGCTGAACGTGGAAGGGAAACTGTTCTTCTCAGTTTTGGCAAGAAGGATGACCAGCTTCCTTAGCAGCAACCACTACATCGACACAAGTTGTCAAAAGGCAGGGCTCTCAGGTTTTCCAGGATGTATTGAACACACATCCGTGATCTGGGAGCAGATACAACGTGCCAAAAGAGAGAAGAGCGAACTTCATGTGGTGTGGCTTGACTTGGCGAACGCTTATGGTTCAGTACCACATAAGCTGGTTGAGTTTGTGTTGGAATTCTTCCACATTCTAGCATGTGTAATTACCATCATAGCCAAGTATTTTAATAACCTGCGCATGTGTTTCTCTCTCGATGGCCGCACGACTGGATGGCAGCAGGTGGAGGTCGGTATAGCCATGGGCTGCTCAATATCCCCTATCCTGTTTGTGACAGCGTTTGAAGTCATCCTCATCGGAGCAAGACAGATGGCCAGAGGGCTGCGATTACCGTCAGGAGGAAGACTCCCGGCGCTGAGAGGGTACATGGATGATGTGACAACCATCTTACAGACAGCTCCATGTACAGCCCGGCTCCTCAAGCGCCTTGACGAGTTGATACAATGAGCTAGGATGAAGATTAAGCCCTCAAAGTCTAGGAGCCTTTCAATCAGGAAAGGGGTGAGGGACGACAGGATGGTGTTCACAGCAGGAGGGGAGAAGATACCATTGTTGAAAGAGCAACCCGTCCGAAGTCTTGGAAGGGAGTATACATCAGAGCTCTCCGACAGACAGATGGGGAAGTTGGTGCAGAAGCAACTGAGAGAGGGGCTTGAAAAAATCGACAGCAGCCAGCTTCCGGGGAAACTGAAGGTATGGTGTTACCAATTCACACTTTTCCAG